AACATCAGCCAAATGACTCAGTCACTCAGGCGGATTCGGGTGCACGACCAAATCAACAACCATGAATCTTCCAGACCTGGTTTGCCTTCCTGGACCCCCGCAAAGCCATTTCCTCGGATTCACAATACGACAAAGCGCGGAAATCCATCAAGCCTGAGGAATGACTGTGAGAAGTGGAGGGTAGGGAAGTGTAGAGAGATGGAGGATCCTGACACTATCCTTAATAGTCCCAATCTGAGAGTGATTGTTCGTGTGGATTTTGGATGTTCCACACATTGCGTGAGAGCGTCATCAAAGGCCATAGAGCAATTTCGGTTACTTAAAAACCTGAAATCAACACGCATACCGAAGGACGAGATGAGTGGACAAGAACAGTTGAAAATAGACAGTGGACGTAATCCACCTGGAATACGTCAGTGCTTTCGACAGAGCGAACCTCCGTATACTGCAGCGAAAGCCCTATAACTAAGGCGTTCGAGAACTGCTCCTTAACGAAATTTACGAATTTCTTCGACAAAAAACCTTATCAGTTCGAGTTAATGGTTCGTTGCGGGGACCAATCGACGCTGTTCAGGAGTATCCATATCTTTTTCAGACGTTCATAAACGACCTACCAGATGTCCTCGGGAGACAAGCACTATTATTCGCGGACGACATTGAAACACGGAAAACGGTACAACATCCCTAAGCTCATGAAACCCTAAAGAGAACTCTCGACGCGGCTTACCGATCGTTTATCAACAATGACACCGAACTCAACGGCCAGAAATGCAACGTTATTTCGTTGCATCAAAGCGCTCGCTTTGAACGCGCACTTGGAAATCAGACATTACCATATGCTTCACATGAAAAGGATCCGGGAGTTATTGCTCGTGTGGATTTCGGATGTTCCACGCATTGCGTTAGAGCGTCAGCAAAGGCCGTAGAGCAAGATGGTTTGCTTAAACGTATTTTACATCATTCGAAGCAGACTTATTACTCCGTTTGCATACATCAGCATACATCAAACCACACACAGAGTACACTATACAAGCTTGGAATCCACGGTTACTTCGTCACAGAAAAGCACTCGAACGTCCGCAGGGAACAGCAATCGAAATGGTCAAATGGTTACGATCTAAAACATACAGTGAAAGACCGCATATTCTCGAACTGTATTCTGAATATCGTCGAATACGGGCAGACATGATTTTCGTATATCAAATACTACATCAACCGAACCACCCGTGTTGCACTCAACTATCACTATTCAGGAGTGGTCACCTCAGAGGCCATCCATTTGTAATCTTGCTCCAAAAGAGTCGGCTAAACTGCAGTTGTCAATCTTTCAGTCTCGGAGTTTGCGATACCTGAAACTCTCTTTCACCTCTGGTTGTTTGTGCTCCAACCATCGATCCATTGAAGTCACGGTTCAATGAAGCATTGGAACACCAAATTGTTCAGCACCCGTGGGTGAACATTGTATTTTCCTATTTAGTTCTACTACCAACCGAAGCAGTATCAGCTCATTGATTTACCCGTAATAAAAATTTAAATAGAATTTAGGCGTTCAAAGGTAATCCCGTGTCATATTCAGGACTCCAGCTAATGTGACAAGGAGAATGTGTCGTGCGAATAGTACTTATGGTTTATGATGAATATGGATTAACGTGTCGTGTGTTTCTTCAGGTCTCGAAGGGTTCTCTTATGTGAGATACCGTAATTGTATATATTAATTTGTGAACAAATCCCACTGTCGTGAAGAAGCCCCAGGTACCCCGCTCCTACGTCCATCTAGCGGTTTTTTGATCGGTAAACTGCCCTCCCTGTGTTTATTTGCTGAAGTGACCTCGTCAGGGGCGGGTGTGGATAGAAGGACACCAGGAGTTGCACATTATCTTCATCGTACAGCAGTGAGGCGAACTTCACTGATCACTGCCAAACTCGCGGTGCATACAAGGTTGGTGGTAAAATGTAAGGTGGACAGGGTTTGGACCTTTTTCGAAGGAGGTAGAAGAAGGTGAACATCTATGGTCAACACAAAGAGTACGCAATCAAAGTCTGCATACATATCGTTTCAAGAATCATGACAAGATGGGAGAGGAAACAATCAACATTCCAGTTCCAGGACACTGGTTGTCAGTCATGGGCATTGACACGGTTCATTAGGGACGGGTGGGGAATGACTGTAGCTACTGTCTTTTTTTACAGTGTGCAATGATGGTATATTCGGACAATTGAAACAGGCCAAAGACCCAATCGTACTGAAGGATCTCAACAACTAAGGTAGCTTCCGTAATAAGTTGGCTGGGGCGCAAACATGTGTTTGTTTCGTCGACGATTGTGTTGAAAACTCCAAATCCACAAAACTTACACCATGTTCCTGTGACTAAGCCAGATTTCTATTTCCGACATTTCCATACAGCGTCATGCTCTCAGTGAAAAGGATATCATCGCGGGACGTCTCGAAGAACTGAGTCCGAATTTAGTCAAAAGCGCTCGTGTACCTGAGGTGTTGCCACCCGAGAAACGCCGACGTCTAGAATCTTTTGTGCAATGTACTCTTTGTGTTACACATGAGAGTTTTACTCACCGGAATATCGCATGTTATACGGAAATACTAGAGCTGTACGAGATGTGCCTAATTGTTTGACGATACGGGCACATCGGTTAAACCTTCTCCAGTCAACATGTGGTGCAGCGTGCGACCCGCACATCTCATTTCCTAACCAAGCTTTGCAGCATCAACATTTGTAGAAAATAAATTTTGACTTCAGAATAGTCCGATACTTTTCCATCTGACTCGCCTACTGCGGCGTGACTCAGGTCCGTGCGCCGAGGATAAAGGACTACGGGTCGTGGCTCAAGCATTGCAGGTTTTAGCTAAAGCTTGATGGAAAAAGGTGTAGATGTGGAAAATCTGAAACTGACTTTATTCAGCAATTGCTATAAACTCTTGAGTAAATCATTGATAAAAGAATTAGTAACCGCACAACACCAGGACCAGATGAAGGCGCTAGAATAATCCTTTTGAATATATCGGACTACATAAGCAAGATAAACAACATACTCAGCGACGCCATAAAATATCAGAAAATAGCTGGGGAGAAAGATAAAACATAACAAATAGAAAAGTCATTGTCGAAAACGCTCTGGTGCCTGAAACAAAAGGACGTAATTGACACCGGCCCCATTTGAACATGATTGTCATCAAGTCTTCCAGTGGGATCTCTGCTGCAGTAAGCTATCGTGTGGTTTACAGTAGCACAAGAAACCAATCACGAGCAATCCTCTAAGATTCCTCGGCTAAGGATGTACATAATCGATGCCAAACTAAGGGGTTACTGTTAATCGAACTCGTTTCGCAATACAGTTCTTTTCACACGAGAGCAACACTTACGATTTCTGACTGCATGGAACATGGCTGTCAGACCATTTAGCGTGCGATGCCATAGTTCAGGAAGCGACTGTGGTGATGGTACAAGGCAACTTTCACAGGATAGATGTATCGCCATGGCAACAGGAGGCCATTCTGATTCAGACACGGGATGCTCCGCATACACAGACGTTAGCCAATCCGTCAATTGTTTCTGAGCTGAACTCGGAGATGTGGGTTCTGAAAACAGAAGACAATTGCCAAGCGATGATCGATCGAGTTTGAGTA